AAAAAATAATTCACAAGAAAATTGCTTCACTTCACTTCACTTGTGGCAGTTTGAATACAACTAATTTATATTTTATTTTTCTCGTACTTAGTTCGTGTGAGCGATAACAGCTCTCGTCTAACAGGAATAATGAAATTAAACGAACAACTTACAGATGTTTCCGTAGGAGAGGAAAAATAGTGCAGTGCGTTAAATAGATTTTTATTATGATATAAATACATTATAGTATGAAGTTAATCAGAATGGCTTCTGACATAAATTATTATGCAATGGCTAAAACGGTTTTGTCATTTAGGGGTGTCAATACTTATTATTAGAGAAATTTGTTTTGAATATGTACAGTTAGGAGTTAATGAAGTGCTTTGATATTAAAATTTAATAAAATTCGAAAAATGGAGTTAATCAATTTGGAAAGTAAAGCATTCGTTTGTCTTGCTTCATTGCTGAGCTAGGTTTGATGACATGCAATAATTTTTTGCACTGGAAAGTGCTGCACTGGTAGTTAACCAAGTCTGTTTATTCTACAACAAAGATCATGTGGGACAGTTCTACATTTTAGAAATTTTATTTTTTAGATCAGTTTCTAGATTTTAAATCTAGTGAGATGAGATCAATATACTATAAAATTTAAATTCGGAAGAAGCACACCCAGCCGATGGACCTCATCCGTGAGGAGTTTCAACAGGCATCCGGGAGTATTGTTTCAATGAATACCATCTGTAAGGAAGCACATCTGCTTGGTTTTCATGATCGTGCTGCTGCCCATAGGCCTTTGATCACAAAGTCCAACCGCGCTGCTCGGTTAATGTGGTACAAAGCACATCGAAATTGGACCGTAGATCAGTGGAAACGGGTTCTTTGGAGTGACGAATCAAGGTTCACTCTTTACCGTTCGGATGGCAGGGTCTGGGTCTGGCGTCTACCTGGAGAACGTCTCCTACCAGAATGCATTGTGCCAACAGTCAAGTTCGGCGGAGGTGGAATTATGGTCTGGGTGTGTTTCTCCTGGTATGGGCTGGGACCCTTGGTCCCCATTCAAGGTAAGCTCAACTCCGATGCCTACTGCACTATTTTGGATGACAATGTGCTTCCTACGTTGTGGCAGTTTACGGGTTGGACCCCTGTTACTTTCAGGACGACAATGCCAGTTGTCATGTTTCGACGTTAACCAAGGCTTGGTATGGTGCCAATGGAGTTCATCGAATGGACTGGCCTGCCCAGAGTCCAGACCTGAACCCTATCGAGAACCTCTGGGACGAGGTGCATCGCCGAATTCAGGGGTGCACTACCCGTGCAAAATCGGTGAAGGAACTTCTATGTCTTCTCCAAGCCAAGTAGAAGAAAATACCACTAGCTGTCACACAAAGACTTGTAGAAAGTATGCCCCGGATGGTCCACGATGTAATTACCTCTCGTGGAGGCTCTATCAACTATTAATTTTGAATAAAGTTAGTTTTTCTTTTCTATCACAGGTGTCCAAATACTTATTGGTAATCAGTGTATTAACAGTTTTCTACATCTCTTCACAAATCCATTAATTGGAAAATTTTGCCTTTTGCTTGTGATATTTGAAAACCTTCAAATTCAAGGCTGTCACAATCATCATCACCATGAAGTATGGTAGCTGGCCATAAATTATGCCAAGTATTTTTCGAAATATTACATATGTCCTCCGATGTTCTTGCGGTGCTCCACACAATAAATTTAAAATATTTTTAAAAAATTTAATGGTCAGAAAATTTAGTGCAGATTTTAGGAAGATTATTGTATATTTGTATTTCGTTATATATGCAGTGTTGGCTGAATGATAGACGTACAATTTGAAGGAAATACTGAAACAGAGAGGTTATCTTTTACTGAAACTTTAAATGAAGTATGAGCCAAACATTTGTCTGTAATTGGGATGGTTTTTGCATCATCTGGTGAACCAACCAGTTTCTCATGTTCCCAAGTCTTGGGTATGAAATGATTTTGAAATTAATCATTCATTAATATGTGTGTTATTTGAGCTTTTACTGTGTGAACCTTAGATGATGGAGAAAATCGTTACTCATGCTGGAGGTTGTGCATCTTTTTTTTTTTTTTTTTTATTCTGAAAAGTTTATATTTGTACATTCCTGCAACATCTGCAGATGTCAAAATTGTTAATCTTGCTTTTGAATCTTTGACATCAACTGGGTCCTTTTCTGTAGAGGTAGCCAAGGTATTTTGGGACACACATTGTCAGAAAGACCAGTTTCATTAGTGTTATAAATTTTTACTGGAGCTAGTTCTGGAGATTTGCTATTAATGCACTCAATGAGTTCAGCTGAAGCTTTTTTTACCTAGAATTTTTTTAAGTACCTAATATCATGACAATTTTTAATTTCGTTAACCAACCTGTTGAGTATGTGAACTCAGTTTCTAAGTCCATTTTCTCATGAAATATTTAGTCTTGAGCTATTAGCATCGGACTCATCAGTGTCATGCCCTCATTGCAACACTCATTCAATGATTACTTTATCATGATTGTTGCTTTTAGGTTAATGAATGATTTTTCTGTTATTTGATACGAGTTGGGCGTCAGAATCCACAAAAAATTCAAAAAAGTTACTACCCTTTAAAAGAAAAATTTTTAAAGGTTATATAGTGTTGGCTTTCCAGTGCCATACTCCTCACATAATTTTGATGGATGTTGCCTTTATCCATTTTTTGCAGTAATTGCATAAATAATTCTGGTGATGTAAATGGAACTAAAACTCAAGCAGCCAATAGTCATTTTATAGCAATATTAACTCTCCAATCAAAATGCATTGAGAACCAAAACTAACTCAGTCTGAATGAGGATTTCACCCTGAACATAACACACTTGCTTCCTATGCTTTGGCTTAGCCTGTCTGCACTTTCTTTCTTATTGCAAACTTATCTAAAATGTAATAGGATAGGCACATTTAATGTGTCAACATGTTTGCTGAAATAAAAAAATGAAGGTTTAATCTGCCTTCATCTCAAATTTCCTATTCAGTATGGATCAACACTCCTACGCCACCAACATTCTGCTGGTCTTTACTTCTGACTTGGTTTTTAAGTACACACACACACACACATATATATGTATATATATAAAGGCAGTCATTTAAGAAAGTTTGAGTTGGACAGGGAAAGAAGGCTGGCCATTTGACATTATCTGCAAAGAAAGGGAATCTTTGCAAGACATCTATTGCTGCAATTTTAATTTACTTTCCACCACAGGCATATATGGCTGCAATGGTGCAGTGAACATTGGACATGGACAAACAAATGACATGATGTCTCTCCAGACAAATCTTTATTCTGCCTTCAATATCACGATAGTCATATTCAAGTTTTTTGGTGTCATAATGACAAATATATCTCTTGCAATTTACGTAGTCATACCAGTCTGTCACCTAGAGTTATGGTTGGGAGCATTGGATTTTACTCTTGTATACACCTAATATGCATTGCCGGCACACTGACTAGTGAACACAACATCTCTGTAGTTTTGGAGCTTGCTGTAATCTTACGTATCAAGACTTACCTACGAATAAGTTCCAGTAAGATGATGTGTGACCTCATACGGCACCCAACAGTCAACAGATCTTCATACAGGTAAGTCAAGGACAGATTACCATGTCCTTGACTTACCTGTTCTAATGATATTTCACCCTGTACTGGCATACTCCAAGCATACATCAAAAGCCTCATTCTTTCAGTGCCAAAGTGTATCACAGCAGTTGCTATTGGCCATCATGGCAAAAAAACACTGCGCACAGTATTGAAATTTTAATCAGTTCACCCTTGTACGTTATATTATTTGCCAAGCAAATATTGCTTTCAAGTCTTTTGTTCTTCATTGCGTCATAGTTTGAAGGGTTAGCAGTGTCTTTTCATAGTATATGTATTCACTGTAAATATGCAGTATTTCTTGTGAGAATGGTTACTGTATAAGGAACGGATAATTAATAATTAATAATAATGTTCAAGTTTTTCTGTTTCTCATACTTGAACCTTGGTGTTGTTTAGTAATAATTCACTGCCAATTTTGCACTTGGCAAAAATTACTCATTGAATTAATGGGGTTTTGAAACACAGATATTGGCACATGACAGTTGCTCATTTTTAAGTGCTGTCAGATATTATCTATTCCTGAAAAACCATTGAAAAGTTAATTCTTACATTTGATCCGAGCTGCTGCAGATAATAAATCTGATTGGTCACTTTAAAATCTTCCTTTGTTCTGCAAGTGAAATAACAGCAGCTATTTTCATTTCTAATTTTTTACATTTTTCATTTCCATTTGTCCGTAAAATCCTGTAATATCAATTCTGAGTTCTAATTAATTTAATATATTAATTTTATTATAAGACTTCATTTATTTGATTTAGAATTTTGTGTGAAGGAAACATTACCTGTTATTAGCTTACTTTTAATATTTAGTTACTAATTAGATTTTATACTAGTCTTCCTCTGATGAACGTTTTATACTACGAAAAGCTTTTGGTTTTAAAATCTTATGAATTTGCTGCAGAATATTTGGTAGATACATTGTTGTAGAGTGCTCTGAAGGTAAGCGCATACAGTCAAATAAAAGTTAACTTGCCATATGGTTATTTCTGGTATTCTTGTATGCTGTCGGTCACATGATATTTGGTTTAAAATTTCATTATGTTTACCAGTTTTCCTTCATTTAGTCATTTTCTCTATTGAAATATCAATTCTTTTCCTCTGTTGTGTTAAATGCAGAAGAGATCAAGAGTACTGAAATGTTTTGCTAACATTTACTCTTTCTTGAGATTCATATTATTATATTAGAAATGTAAAATTTGACCTATTTTTGTGAAGTATGTAATTCTTGCTTTTCTTCTAAATTAAAAATATAAATGTGAATTTTGCAAAGTCATAATAATAATTATTATTGTGATATTTATTTTACATGGGGCATTATTTTTATAAATCAGTGTCAAAAATAAATAATGCCGTCATGAAATTATATGTTGCAGATATTCAATTTCTGGTTGGAATACTTCGTGGCAGCATCTGTAGATGAGGTGTCTGATGTAATTAGATTTCCCGTAAGTATGTTCTAATTTGATGTGATTAAAAATTACTTTATTTTGAATTTTTTCACTTTCTGAAACTCTTCTTTGCAACAGTATTAGTTTAGTTGAATAATAGTATATATGTGTAAATACTTATTTATATATTATATATATATATATATATATATATATATATATATAACTTCTGTTAAATACTAAATTGAATTATTTTAAATACTAAAATTATAACTTTCTGAAGTATTGCAAAAATGAGGGGGGGGGAAGTTTTGAAGCTGTAAAAAGCAAAATCAAAACTTTAGCAAAAGCTTTAGCTAATTCTCTGTTTTACTGCTTCTCAACTTTTTCGTTTATATTTTTGCAAAAGGCTATAATTTTAGTATATAATATATATAGTTTAACTACACTGTAGTTTTGCTGTTGAAGCGCAGTTTTTCCCTTTGTCTTAGATAGTATTTATATTCTTTAAGATTTTTTCTTAATTCCTTTCCTTATATATATGTATATATATAAAAAGCCTCGATAGCTATCTGCCTAAGGGTAGGGATGCCTTTGTGGAGGACTTTCTAACAGAAACTGGCTCATATACATGTTACACACAGGGAAAACCATGAAATGCCCATGCAGCCAGCTCATTTGTGGGATTCGAATCTCGGACCAAACTACCAGTGTTCAGAAACCTTATCACTCGGCCGCTGGTAGGCCCAAATAAAATGTGCTATAAGTGTAAAAGTTCTCTCATAAAAGATTAGGAATTTTCATGTAAAGCTTTTTTTATTCGCACTCAGAAAAAATTATTTTTTCTTATAAGTTTTCATTAAAACTCCATTTTAATACCAAAGCATAATATTTTAATGAGTAAACACCCTGAAGAAAATGTTTTGAGTATCTCAAGAACAGCACTGAAAGGTCCATAAGGTCTGTCTAATTGTTATAATTGATGAGTATAATTATGATGGAACTCATGAGTAGTGCAACTTATAATCTTTCTTTAGTGACTGGATATAAAAGGAGAGTCAAACATCATATCAAATTTTAAAAATGATTTCTTGTTTGGTAACAGTGAGAAGTCTGCATGACTCATTGCAGAATTTATATATTATTCCACATCTTTTAAAACCTTAAACAGGATTCTTAAAATGTTGAATCTAATCCATTTTAAGAAGTGAATTATTCTTGGTGCAACTGAAGAAAATGCGGCAAGTTAAGTTTTTAAATTTCTCCAAATTTTGCACCAATTTTTACAAAATTTAATATTTAGGCATAATTTGAGTCGTAGAATCAAAATATGAAAAGAAAAAGCTATGTTATTTTGGAAAAAATCCCATTTTGTCTCAAAATACCTATGTTAGAACAGTGCTATATATAAATCTAAAATATATCCTAAGTCACGCTTTCGAGACATGAAAAACGCAATTTTAATTTCGTTAATCGGCCCAGTAGAACAGGAGATATAGAGTTGCCCCACTTTTTGTGTGGTGTATATCCATCTCGTTTAAAATCAAGCAAACTTCAACCTTTGGATATAAAGATGGTTTTAGACGAAATCTGCGAAATAAAAGGAAATTGATGTATAATTCTTATAATTTTGTATAAACATTTAAAACTGTTCTGGAAAAAAAAAAAAAAAAACTTGATGAATTAACATTCCTAAAATTTTCAATCATAGATTAAAATTCACTTTAGCAAAATTCTGTTTAGCAAATATTAAAATGGAGCCTAAGAATACTTCCCTCTCTTTGGGCGACACGAAAATTTGAAGTTTTAAGAAATTCTCATCAGACTTCACTTCCCACTGCAGGTATAAAATGGATTGCATGTATAGATCGCAGATATTTTTTTCGCTGCTAATACAGTACAAAGTCAGTAATCCAGACTCGTTGGGACTTCGGCAATTCCGGATTAGGGGTTTTTTCGGATTATAGATCATCAATTTAAATCTGGTAAAATGGCATGCAGAAATGATACAATTAAAAATATGAAACCGTAATTTATGAAATAAAGAGCAATTATGATCTAAAGGGTATCAAAATTTACAAAAAAGAAAGTTTAATATTTATTTGTTTACTTTATTGAATATTTCTTTCAATGTAAGTTGTTTGAGTTGCTTAATTTTTTGTGCTAATACTTTCTCTTTAATTCTATAAACAGACATAATTTCTTGTTCAGTTACAAAGTTCCACCGTTCAAGTTGTGTAATTGCTGTGTCAAGAATACAGACTAACTTGTTAATCAAAATTTTTTCGTTTTCAATAACCTCTCTGTCACTTTCTTCACTATCAGAAGTGCACATGTGTAAACACTTAAATGGCTTTACACGCATGCGTAGCTGACATGCACATCAAATGTGCGTGTGTAAATTCTTTATGCACGTGCGTAAGTTTGTGTCTTTGAGGTCCGGATTATAGATCATTCCGGATAATGGACATCCGGATTATGGGCTTTGTACTGTATAAACAAAAGCCAATTTTACAAAGAAATTTTTCTTTAAAGCTATACCTCTTTTGCATGATAGCCCAGTGTAATATTTGTTAAAGTTAAATAACCAAATGCAACCAATATGTATCTGGTTTTCTTTTTTATATTACAATAACAAAATTAAGGAAAAAAGCAGCTTTAAAGCTTTGTTGTTGTTATTTAAAACTTTATTATTGCTGCAAGTTCATCTCAAAATCTAATTGTAATGAATATTATTCTATGTTTCGGATCGCACCAGTCTGAAGGTCAGTCGCTATATTATGAGAATTTTGGCCAGGTTTTAGGAGGTTAATGAAATTCTTGTCACCTTATTTTAAATACCAGAATTTTGAGTACATATCCTCTGTTTTTATGTTTACTTTTCTCATTAATTTATTATATATGATTTTTCATATTCTTTATAAAATAAAAGTTCTTGCTTTGTTTTTCAAATTGCTTTTATCGTTAGGACAGTGTTGTTATCTCAGTGTGTTTCATAGGAGGCATTTAAGTACTTTTAAAGTTCATATTTAATTCTTAGATATTTTATACATTTGTGTTCAATTTATTTTTGGTAGGTGGGAGATTATTTAGGTTTGAATAAATTTTATAGTGCCAGCTAGTTTCAAAATCTAATATTGTAAGTGGATATTGATATGGAATTATGCAAATGTAATTAGCTACATTCACAAATATCAGATAACTACTTATATGGTTAAACTGCCACTATAAGGAATTCACTAAAAGTGTATTTTGCTATATCATATCTGGTAAGGAGGGGAATGCTTTATCTCACAAAGCATGAAAATTAACTGGTGAATTGCAGGAAAACTTTCTAATATTGTCACATCTCTTGAAACAAGTGAATAACTCTAATTTTTAAAAATATCATTTTAAGGGTTAATTACTGTTATTATTTCATGCAAGTGTTGAATTTCTTTTTTATTGTTGTTCAGGTTTACTATTTATTAATAGTTTTGCATGATAATTTCCTTAGCTTAAAAGTCATGATTTAAACCATCCTTCCAATTACACATTTCCATCTAAAATACACATATATAATTAGCACAATGGCAGTTGCAGCTTCGTTAGTGGTGAACAAGATCAGCAGTCCTTCTATAATGTCTTGATCTTCATCATTTTTGGTTTAGATTTTTCCACACAGTACCAGTTATAGATTTTTATAAGCCGGATTCTCAACAGTTACTGATTTGTCTACATCTGTTGTGTATTTTTTTAATAATACTCATCTTACCTACCTGCAATGCAGAACACTATAGTTTACTGATTGGCAACCAGATGAATTTTTGATACTGAAAATTTTCGCAGTGCAGAGTGAAGAGTTTCATAAAAGAATGTGTGAAATTTCAGCTTTCTAAAAATATTGATAGTGGAGATTATTGATCACTAATTGGTTGTATCCAATGTCCAGTGAATGTGCATTCATTTGTCCAAGAAAATTTATGTTTCAAAAACAAAGGTGTAGTATCCATTGTAAGGTATTTTCTCTCTTCTTTCTCATGCCTTCATGGTGTAATGGTAGCATGTTCAGTGCATGTTTAAGAGGTCTAGATTTGAGTCCCAGCAAGGGCTGCTCATTTTTCATGTCGCTTGCTTTAAAATGACCTAATGACTCTACACCATATAAAAAAATCATGAATCTTGCAAAAGATTTCAAGAATGCAAAACCATCCATTCAAAAGAGAGAACTTGGATAGTTTTTTAAGTATTGAAACAAAAGAAACCATTAAAGATAAAAACATTCCATTTATTAAAAAGCACATCAGGCCTTGAACAGGGCTACCTGACAGCTGAATCAGAGAATTTAATCAAGTTCTTTTGCTCAGTGGTTGTAGACATGATATGCTTATTATATGTTCTGGTTCTCCATGAACTAGTTATTAGACTGCATTTTATATAAAACACAGAAAGATCAAGATGAACATGAAAAGAATACAAAAATAAATGTGTTATCCTCTATTCTAACATGATTAGATGCATCATGTAAGGGTTAGTAATTTGTCACTAAAACTTTCAGAAATTCTGGCGAAAATATGAAATTACAAAAGAAAGATGTTTCATTATTCAGTTTTTGACACATTTAAAAGTTTGTTGTAGCCATTTTAAATAATGTTAAATGTATAAGAAATGGATATAAACAAAAATTTCATTCTTCATAAACTGGGTTTGCTGTATTGAAGTTTGTATTTGTGAATGTTCTGGGGTGTTACTCATTTCCGGAGTACTTTAGTAATTCGTTTTTTCAGATCCTGATCCTTGACCCAGGGAAAGTGTACATGCCTAGTTATGTGACTGTAAATATGGGTGCAGAAGAAAAGTCTGTACATATTGTAAATTTATGTTTAGAAGCTTTAAAAGGTATATGTAGAAAACTACATGAGTGGGAGTTTCCTGCTTCTGCATTAAAAAGTGTAAGGTAACTATTTTATTTATTATCAAGTTTAGTTCAAGTACATATTTCCATATTAAAATTGTGATTCATTTGTTTAAAATATTAATGATTAATACTATTTTTACATTATGGGAGTTCAGATTTCTTTTCTCCCCCCCCCATCCAATGTGATTTTGTCTTAATGAGTTTTGTAGTCTGGCCTACTATTTGGAAAGCCCTCAGTTAAAATTATTTATAAGATATGTGTTTGCATAATGGTTTGTGATCAGTTTTACACAATAAATGAAATCCAATTAGTAGCCCCCTTTCATATATTACCACAGTGTGGGATCCATGGACTGTCAATAGTACACTTTCAAATAATGATGGATGATCGTCTGGAGTTTGTCTGTTGTTTTAAAATCTGTTGTGCTTTTTGGTAGTCCCTAATTATACATTTTAAGTTAAACAGCCTGAAGGAGGAAGTATGCTGGTCCAGGAAGCTTTTCCTTGACTGATCTAAAGTCATTGGGAAAAAATGAGTAGAAAATTGTGGAGACTTGCTAGTTAATAGAAAACTCTTGGGACTTGCTAAATAACTTTCTTCATTGATTTACAGCACTAGCCGGATCACTCTGCTGTCCATCAATAGAACAACAGACTTTGTCATCAGTTTCATACAACTACCATCAGAGGAACAATGCAATGAATCTTCCACAATGGCTTGTGGTCTTCTGAGACTCCCAAACTGTAAACCTATTAAACATTCATGGTTTGTGCTTGAATGAGATTAGAAGCTGCTAATCATCTTCCATGATATGCACTTATTTAACTAAGCTACTGCAGACAAATAAAGGATCACTTTACTCATAGGGAGGTTAGAAGAGTTTGAAAAATATATTTGTAGGTACCACTAAGTCTCCCTTGTTCTGAGAGTTAGACCAGTACAATATATGAATGTGTATGCTTTTAGAACTTCTGTCAGGAAAAATGTCAGCTATTATTAATATAGTTAAAATGGTCTGTGCTGTATTAATGTAACTTCACTGGCAGTGAGAATGGGTGTGTTCACAATGATGCATATATGTTGAATTCACCAGTTTTGCATTAGACATCAATTAATAAGGGCATGTTCTGTGTGGCTATTGCACTCACGACAGAATGAGTGTAGTAGAGAATATATGCTACATTTTGCTTTAAATTGGAACATGAAATTATTATAGTATTGGATGATTCAAAAGGTCTCAGGGATGTGATGCAGTGGGTTCTGTGCAAACAGAGATGTGGTACAGATGCTTCAAATTTATCACAGAATCTGTTAAAAGTGATCTGCTTTCTCAATGTTCGTGAACCAAAAGAAAAAAATCTACAGTGTGGTACTATTTTATAAAGGATCACAGCAAGAAATGTGTGGTGACAAAATAAGTTCCACAATTCTGTGATTACATTAAAAGAAACACAGAAATTGTTGCTGATTTGCTTGACATTACCAAAGAACTACATATCTGTAAACAGATCATAACTACACCATAATTTGTTGAAATTTTTTTAAAAAGTCATAATCAGATAGCATATGTAAAAATCGAAGAGAGCTGATATAAACAGCAGAAGACCTGAGGTCTGTTGCACAGAAATAAAATCTTCGTCTTCTGAATTGAAATTTGCTATTTCTCTATGCATGAAGAAGGCCAGTAAATGGTGTTATGTTATCAAGGCCATGTTCAGTGTATTTTGATTGTGAACTTAGTAGCCATCATAAGTGCACTCTTGTCCAGACAATCAGTAAGGAATTTCATCTCATTGTTCTTTGAGAGATGTACTTAGACTCATACTTTAACAGAAATGTCTGCAGCTGTGGGCAACTGATGATTTCATCTATCACATTTTATGTAAATGTTTTTCAGAAACATCAAATCATCAATCAATATTATAGAGTGCCCTCAGAAACATCAAATCACCAATATTATATAGTGCTCCCTACTATCAAGATTTGGTATCATGTGCTTTGAGGTTTTTAAAAAATTAAAATCACCTGTGAAAGGATAGACATTCTAGATCATCTTAGATATTTATTGGCATCATTTAACAGCCTTTTTATTTTTACACACACAACTGTAAAACAAGAAGAATACTGGAGTTTTTGATTAAGTTCTGTTTATTTAATGTTGCTAAACGGAAAATATTTCATTATATTTTACTCTAATTTTTAAGCACATGCAGGAAATAGACGTAAATATAATAAACAACAAAGCTAATTTAACTTTCTCAGCATGCGATAGGAGTAAGAAAAATTTTAATAGAACATTATGTCTTTAATCGCTAATCTCATGATGCATTGTCAATGGATTATAATGAATGCTCAGTAAGTTTTATGATGATAGCCATGAATTTGATGGCTTTCAGATATTGCAAACAAAAAAACAGATTTTTCCTATTAATGCAATTTGGGAAGAAATGTAAAGAAATGGTAATAAAATGAAGATGACAATCTATTTGGAATTCTGACGCAGTAATTACAAAACTTGGCAACTGAACAAGAAATTTTGTCTCTCTATAAAATTAAAGAAAAACCACTGAGACACAAAAATAAAAAAAAGAAAGCAATTTAAAAAAAAACGTGCAAAAAGAAATGTTTAATGAAGGAAAAGAATAAATGCTTTTTTCATAAATTTGATTCCATTAAGGTCATAAATTCCTCATTATTTCGCAAACAACTTTTTCAGACTTTTAATTTTGTAACTTCTGCATGTGATCTTACTAGATTTAAACTGGTGGTCTAAAATCCAAAAAATTCCCGAATCACCAAGGTCCCAAAGAGTCTAGATCTCAAACTCTGTACTGTATATCTGCATTGTAAACCAATTTCACAGCTGGCAAATGCCTAGTCACACAGCATTTACCAAGAGTTCTCCACATTTATGTATGATGGTTAGATTTCTAAAGTGAGTAGAAAGATTTATCATTGCAGGTGTTTTCATTGCTGCATGATTTATGCTAGAAAAGTTCTGCAGAACTGATGAGATCTGATGAACATTGGTTATCATGAGTATTAGATTAGAAGCTGCTTATTGAATGCTGAACTTGATCTGCATGAAAGAATTTTGTCTTCCTCTAATTTGTGTTATCGTTATTTCATTTAGGAATTCCTTCATGTTAGGAATTCCTTCATGTTAATCTAAGAACCAACTATATCTAAATGCATGAATACAGTAATGAAAATCTATTATATTGATATTTTTAAAACTTTGCATTTAATGTAGTTATAATTTTCTTTTACAGTCTTTACAAACGTGATGAACGGTGCCTTTTCCTATATGTTCATCAAAATTCTGATGATTTTCAAATGTTTTTTCCATCAGAAGAAATGAGAAAAAGGTTTTATGACTTGCTCTTAGAAATGACTGCAGATCAGGAAGGCATAATTACTGATCTAAATACTGATATCAATACTGGTGTTATAAAAGTAAGTTGTATTTATTGGCATCATTTAACAGCCCTTTTATTGTTGCACCCAGAACTGTAAAACAAGGAGAATACTGAAGTTATTGATTAAGTTCTGTTTATTTAATGGTGCTAAACTGAAAATATATCATTATATTTTACTTTAATTTTGTTACTTGCAAGACTGATCTTTGAAAAAAATATTTATGAACTGCAGTTTATTGTAAATGTTGTCTGTTCATTTAAATATATATAGGCATGCCATCAAATATGAAGTACGAGCTCATCAAAGTAATTATAAAAGATTGTTGGATGAATTTTTGTTTCATCTGACTTTCTAGGTGAAAGTATTATGATCAAATTAAAATCCAAAATAAAAATATCTCTTAACATTCTGACTTCAGGGTTACACAAATTGAAATCAATAAAAACAAAACTCTGAAAACTTATGGGTAGAATAACAGCTTCCAAGCACAAACTAAATTGAATGTACTTTGCAATATCAGCAAATCCTGATTTTTTACTCCTCTTGACCAATGACTCACAAAGAAGTAAGCAGTCAGTCTAAGCTGCCAAATGTTGTTAGATAATCTTCGGAACTAACTCTTATTTATACTTTAAATTAATTTGCATTCTGGTGGAAGTTGACAAAAGTCAAACTACAGAGCAACCAAAATAACAGGATAATTCATTAACTGAAATAAAACCTCACAAGAAGTATATAACTTTACTAATATTATTAATGCTGTATTTGAGTTATCTTGTATACCTGTGTTTCTTTAAGTCATATTTAATCATATTTATTAAAAATTTCTTGGTAGTATGAATATGAGCGTGATAATCAAAAGAAGCAAATTGTTATTGAGAAGAGGAATATACGGAATTGTGTATAATGTTGTATTTAATGTTGCTAAACTGAAAATATTTTATTATATTTTACTCTAATTTTTTTACTTGAAGCAAGACTAATCTTTGAAAAAAAAATATTTTTAAACTGATATGAACTGCAGTTTATTGTAAATGTTTGCCTGTTCATTTGAATATATATAGGCATGCCATCAAGCATGAAGTAAGAGCTCATCAAAGTAATTATAAAAGAGTGTTGGATGAATTTTTGTCTCATCTGACTTTCTAGGTGAAAGTATTATGATCAAAGTAAAATCCAAAATAAAAACATCTCTTAACATTGACTTCAGGGTTACACAAATTGAAATCAATAAAAACAAAACTCTGAAAACTTTATGGGTAGAATAACAGCTTCCAAGCACAAACCAAATTGAATGTAATTCACAATACAATATCAGCAAAGCCTGATTTTGACTCCTCCTGACCAATGACTCACAAAGAGGTAAGCAGTCAGCCTAAGCTGCCAAATGTTGTTAGATCATCTTCAGAACTAACTCTTATTTATACTTTAAATTAATTTGCATTCTGGTGGAAGTTGACAAATGCCAAACTCTAGAACAGCCAAAATAATAGGATAATTCATTAACTGAAATAAAACCTTACAAGAAGTATATAATAACTTTGACTAATATTATTAATGCTGTATTTGAGTTATCTTATATACCTGTTTTTTTAAGTCATCTTTAATCTCATGTATTAAAAATTTCTTGGTAGTATGAATATGAGCTTGATAATCAAAAGAAGCGAATTGTATTGGGAAGAGGCACATATGGAATTGTATATGCTGCACGAGATTTGACAACCCAAGTACAAATTGCAATAAAAGAAATTCCTGAACGTGATATAGGGTATGCATTAGTTAATTTGTTATGCACCAACCTTTTTTTTAAGATCTTAATTTTTTATAATTAAGTCATTTTTCTCGCTATAGTGCAATTTAATATTTTTAAAGTGTGTTTATTTCTTGATGTTATAATGAAATATTAGTTGGGTAGTTTATGACTATTTTAAGATGCAAGAATATATCTATAAAAGTATATGTGCTTTTCAGCTCTTTCCGATGTCTAAAAAAACTGTAGTGAAATGCTTGATTAAATGCTGCAGCTCTTTTTAAATTGGTGGAAAAAGCTGATGTGTTGTTTCCACCAAAAATATATGGGCATATGCTCTTTCATAGACAATGTTTTGTTACAAATTATCTTAATATGACACAAATCATTATCATAAACAGCTTGAGCATTTCTGAGAAAGCTTTTCGATAAATTCAAAGTACTGTTGCAAGAATTGCTTTTCTATTAGTGATGTCAGTTACTAATGGTGGGCAGTTTGTCATTGGCCATAGAAGTTGTTTCAGGCAGCAAAATTTCTAGCACTAACCCTGGATAAGCCTTAAATATATGTAGGTGTTTATTTATTCAGAACTCACATAAGCCTTAAGCAGGTGCAAGAAATAGATGTAAGGATAATAAACAACAAAACTGATACAATTTAACCTTTAAGTTCCTCAGCATGCCATAGCAGCAAGACAAAATTTAGCAGAAAACATGTCTCTAGCATCTAGTCTTATGCTACATTGCCAATAGTATACATTGGATGCTAGCTAAGCTTTAATGGTGATAGCTGCAAATTTGAAGTTTTATGGATATTGCAAACAAATGCAAAATTTTCCAGTTAATTTGAGAAGAAATATGGAGAAGTGATATTTTAAATGATGATGTAAAGAAGTTTTCCATTTCAATGATAATAGCCCTGTAATCAGTCAACCAACAGACAACAAAATTCGTAGTATGGTCCTAAATCTAGAAAATATTGCTACCGATAACTGAAGAAAGAGATAGAGAGGTTGCTGTAAATGTAAGAACTTTGATTCATGATTAAATGGGAACTCTGGATGCAACAATTGCAGAATTTGAACAATGGGACTTTTTAACCAAACAAGAAATTATGTCACTTTGTAAAACAAACTTTGTCTTTTGTGTGAGAAAATATTAGTCCAAAAAAACAAGGCATCATTGAAAGAAATGTTTTATTAGACTTGAATTTAATTGAAATATATGGGCTGTCTTATGATGCTGAACTGCATTATGCCTAATGCTTATCGATCCCTCCAGGATCTGAAAAGTGCCTGTTGGGAAGATTGATGGGCCATTCCATAAAACTTGATCAACAGTTAAGTAAATTCTACCAAATCAGTGTACGAACCTTCTCATGCTTTGCCATATTCAAATCACCTAACAACTGAAACAGAATGGAAATATTTTTTCATCATGTTTTAGCAAAATGTGAAGCAATTGTAAAGCTTTGAAAGGTATTTACTCCTCTTAGGCTATCTTGCTCTTTTTCAAAGGGAAAGAAATATAGTGCCTTTAAATAATTTGGTGCCCATAAAGAAATTCCATCATCCCATTAGTGCAGTTTGTGAAATCAGAAGTACTTCTTAGATCTCCAATGACACAAGATTTGAGAAATATATGCAATTGTTACCAACATTTGCTTAGTTAATTTCGTAAATAACTCTTGAGATCTTAATTTCATGTGTAAATTGTGACCAGTATTAATGACTAGGATGAGGATGTTATCCAAAGTAAGGAAACAATAAATTAGATTGTCCTAGGATTATGTGACTACTTACCTTTCATTTAACTCTGCTAAAAGCCATTAGAATTGGATTTAAAGTGCATCAGTTTTTATACATTGAATTCAGTATTAAGTTTATGATGTCATATTTCATTTATTGTTCCAGTTGTGATTATATGTAAAGGTGATTTCCTCTCCTCAGTAATTCTAGTTTATAATGCAAAGAATGTATCAGAATTCAACTAATATTTTAAAATTTGATTTAATGGTTCTTACTTCTTTTTTAACATTTTAGGGTTGTTCAACCTCTTCATGAAGAAATTAAACTTCATTCTGAGTTGAGACATCGGAATATTGTACAGTACCTAGGATCAATAAGTGAAGATGGCTACTTTAAAATATTCATGGAAAGAGTCCCTGGTGGTATGTTACTAATTAATGCTTTTTTGCTGTTTTTAAATTTAGGCTAATCACTCGCCTCAGTTTTTGTTAATATTACCAGTAATGTAGCAGTTAATAAAGTAACCTAAAAAACTCAGTTGTCTGATGTGTTTATTGCTTTTTATATTTCTTAGGAAGTTTATCTCAATTATTGCAGAATATATGGGGGCCGCTGAAAGACAATGAAGTAACAATATCATATTATACCAAACAAATACTAAAAGGCCTGAAATATTTGGTATGATCAAGGAAGTCTTTATAATTTCTTTTCTTTAAGTTATAAATTTGAGAAGCAAATTTGTGTTTTATTTATGTTTTGGAAAGAAGATGCACACAATGCAGTTTTATAGTGTGATTATAAAAATTATTGTGATTTGAAAAATATTAAATGTTTGCTTAGCTGGTCATAATACACTATCCTCCAAAAGTTAGGTAACAGCAGGTTTTTGGTGTCTAATTTGAGAATGAAGCAACATAGAAAGAAAAAATTTAGATGGTATGTTCATTAAACAGTTCTTTAATGAATGTGATGTAGAAAGCTTCTTAAGATTAACATAAACATGAATTACAACAGGAAATTGCATTCTTGGCAGAGAAATCCAGTCTTGGAGAAACAGTACATCACAGTTTTTCAAGGAAAATATGGGGGTAACATTACAAAAAAAAATGGGTTTTTATAAGGAATGTATTCATCGTTAGCTGCAATACATTGGCGGCAGCAACTTTCCATCCTGTCAATTAAGTTGTCGGTCGGTGAAATAGGAAGCAACATCAGACATGGAGTAATCCTTGTTCAAACTCATCTAACAACTTAGAGGAGCCTTAAAGCAGCAACCTGCCTCTCAAGATAATCCCGAAGAGGTTCTATTGGATTCAAGTCTGAGGAATGAGGTGGTCATTCCACCTGCTCTGTACCATGACCCTCAAGATATTCTTTACAAACATGAGCTCGATGTGGTCGTGCATTGTCATCCATCAGAAGAAATCCAGGACCATTAGCAGCGGTATATGGGCAGATGTATTGATTAAGGATCTCATTTTGATATCTCAAACCAGTCAATGTTCCTTCTTGAGTCAGTGTGACCAATGTGAGGAATCCCAGCTCAAACCATTATTCCACCACCTTTGTAAGTGTGCCATTTCTCAATGTGGGACTGGTTGTATCTGGTGTGTTGTTTCTTCCAGATCAGCTGATGACCTTTCTCACTCTCTCATATGAACCTGGACTCATCTGTGAAGAAAACAGAAGGCCATTGTTGAGTAGTTCGAGCGGTGTGTTCTCCTGTCGTAAAATAAACGGATGCTTCTGTGTCCTCAGGTAAAGGGGATACAAACAACTGCTCATCTAACATACAGACCTGTATCGTGCAGACTGTAGTAGCTGAGATTCTTGTTCTTGTGACCACTAAATGATCTGCCATGAGCTCGGGCACAGAAATTTTGCTCCTCCTTCAGGCCAAAAGAAATAAATAATGGTCTCCCACATGTATTGTAAGTCTTGATCTGCCTGGAATATGTCTTCCGGACACAGAATCCATAATTGCTGGACTACACTGCGAGAGAGATTGAGACATGTAGCAGCATCAGCTTGAGAAATCCCCATTTGCATCAACCTGATCGTCCACTACCTCAACGAGTCGAATAAACAACTTCTCCTGGACATTAATGAACTCTCCTGGATGTTGTCAAGAAAATTGCTAATAGCAATTAAAGTTCAACACTTGTGAACAAAACTTACAATTTTTATATTTTTTTCTCCAACTCTTAGATAAGTATTCATTTTTACAAAATAAAAGTTGTAGCTATTGTTTTTGCATATATTTTCTTAAATTTCATCGCTATCATGAATATAAACTGTGAATTTAAGTGTTGCTGACATTTTTGCAGTGGTGAATTTTGAAAAACATGCTGTTACTTAACTTTTTGAAGGCAGTGTATATGATGAAGATGGTGTTGGTATTATCTGGTAAAGACGTCTGGCACAATCCTTCTCAGATTAATTTAGTGAGGTATGTGTAGAGGAGAATATGAGAAAGATGAAAGTATATCTTACCCTTTGTATCACTGATTCTCCACTTAAGGATGGGATAAGAAAATTGAATATTGTAGAGTGCAAAAATATTTATCTAAAGAGCCTTATTGTATTTGATACTTTTTATTAATTTTTTTAAAAAATTTATTGTCTTTGATTCCTTTTTTTTAATTAGAGTTGGCTACTTTTGCCATTATTATCTTTTTATCATCATCAAGATTATTTCCTTGCATAATTTTATGCTAGTATGTAACTGTGTATGGTGCATTTTAAAAATGTTTGATTTTAAATTTGAAAAAACTGTCATCAGTTAATGTGAGATGTAAAAAAGTTAATGCCGATATTCAGATAATCTGCATTATTGTTACAGATGTTGTATTTGTTAAATTTTAAGGATTAAAGTTTACTTCCTTGTAACTCAGTTTTGTGAAAAATATTAATTACAATGATGTCATTAATATATCACTAAGTGAATTAAAAGAGTTTAATGTCATAAAAATATTTTAATGCTATTAAAATATATCTTAGAGAGTGAGATAAGCTTTTCATAGGTTTCTCTGAGTGACAAAAGATTAAATCATAATTGTAGGAAGTGATGTTTTCCATTTGAATTTGCTAAGAATTTTAATAATAATTTCATTGCTTTTCATGACCTCAGAATCTTTTTGTTGGTAGCGGAGGAGAAGAAAAGGTAATCTTTTCTCAAAATATTTTCAAGATAAAAATTATTCAAAATAGGAAAGCTTATTTAGTCCATTTGGAACATACTTCCATTGAGCTTTCTTTTTATGGAAATTTGGATAATGCATAGATAGATGGAAATTTGTTAACTTTTTAATGACTAGCATAGACTGGTTCAGAAAGTTGTGATGAAAATGAATCATCTTTAAACACAGCACTTTGAAGAAAAAGACAGGTATATGCACTAGAGTCTGAAGAAACTGATTATGTTATCATACAAAGTACAACCCAACAAATTCATTATTGGCATACTTATGATTAGTCTCAAAAGAGTTTAAATTGCAGGTGATAAGGAATTTTAAGTTTTCCTATGAAATATATTCTTGTGGGATGATATGTTTCTAAGTAATATGGTTCTTAAATTTTTTTTTAATTGCTGTTTACAAAATTCCTTTCAAATGAAGCTGTAATTTTGCTCTTTCCCACCAGTAAAAGTCATGAATTTATGGTTTAAAATTTTGCTGAGAGTGCACTTTAAAAATTTATTGTTAATGTAGATTTTTAAATTATGCTTTGTGCTTTGCATAAGATCCAAGGAATCATAGCTCTGTTCCATAAATTTGTTGTTGCATTTTAAAACTTCTTCTTTTATGGTAGTTTAAACCAGACATAGTGAGTGAAGTTCAATAATAATGTTGAGCTCATCAGTGGTGAAGATAACGTGGTGAGCTCTAGTAGTTTGGCCAGGACTCAAATCCTGGTAAATAGCCTGGTTACTTGATGGTTTTTCTCATGTATAACTTGAATACAAGTGGAATAATTAAAAAAGAAAGGAAGAAAGTCTTCCTCAAAGACATTCGTCCATTTAGGAATATAGCCCTATTGTGCTTTACCCCTATCAAATATGCTATCCAAATTTGATCTGGAATATTGTATATTTCTTTTTTCCATTTAAATTTATTAACGGTAAAAATTGCATCATGTATACCAAAACTATGAACTCTTACAGCAGTTACCCAGAAAACAAATTCTTTTAAATGTGATACTTTTTTTTTATAATATTGCAACCTTTCCTTATATAAATATGCAAATGAACTTTTGAACAAAAGTACATCGTATTTTAAATATTTTTATACAAGAAGTGAATTTCGTGTATTAGTGAAGCTATTTCGTATTTTCTGCACATACGTTATTACTTCCTTTTTATAATAAATATGGACTGTGAAATTGCAATTTTTTGTTTTAGGTAAATCATTGTTTTTGGTTGTATGTTCTGTTCTCTTTTAAAATTAATTTGGGGTTTATATTATTACCTTATTTAAAGTATTTATTTGTGCACAACTTTTTAGATGTTGTGTTCCACTTAATGGCACCTTGTAACTGATTTCTTTACATTTCACACAATGAGCAAGCTTATTAACCTTGGGGACAAATAAGGATGGATTTTTAAAAACAGTAGAAAGCGTTAAAAATGAAAAACCTGCCATCAAGAGGTTAAAGAATAGAGAAATTTCCTTGTAATGAATCCAAAGTTTCGATGCTGGCACGCAGTGCCGATTGTAGATCATAGACTGTGCAAATGTAAATTTCAATTGACCACCCTTTTTTGCAGAAAAATAATGTTTGATAATCCTTTTGCTGCCCTTAAATTTGGCTGCCACATGCTGTGCTCCATCTTGTCCCTGCTCTAGGATCGGCCCTTGTGACATTTCTTGTAATCTGCTGTTAGTGTATTACATATAGGTGCACACGTGGAGAATCGGCATAGGGATTCAATTTAAGGAAAACCATATTACTGGGTGCTTATTTATTATTTATAATAAGCAATGCATTTATTTAGTTCCATTTTTTATCTTAATTAATACTATAAAATTTACTTTGAAAGTAATTCCGTTAGTGAATAGAAAGCTCTTTACACTTTGATTTTTTTTGCAAACATGTTTTTTAATTAAAATTTCTTTCCATCATTTATCCCTTCTTTTATTACTTTTTTCTTTGTACAGAACAGTTAATGGTAGCATCAGATAAAGGCAATGCAGTCTAGTGTGTAAATGAAGATTCCCCCCCACACACACAAAAAAAAAAGATTTGCTGTTCCATTTTGACTTTCCAGATATGCAAACAACTGTAGTGTCAACTAGGCTTTCACAACATCCACCCTACAACCTAATAGCCCAACTGAGCAGGTCTTTGTCTGTGCCCAGCAACTCAGTGGATATTTGCTAGATTGTCTATATGGTACAATTACTTTTGTATCACATGGGCAATCTAGCAAATGGTATGCCTATAAAACACATCATGGAAAGGCTGTATAGCTGTATGATGACATTAATTACTCTTGCCAAAAATTAATTTTTTACTCATTCATTGCTCTTGCTATCTTATTTATTGTTCTACACTTGAGAATTTAACTGTGAAGTAATCTATCTCAAAAATTGATTGCAGTGTGTGAAACAGCTGAAAGTTTTGTAAAGGAATTTGTTAGAAAAGTTCAGGAAAATTGAAATCTCTAAAGTTTAGACATG